CACTGACAATTGTGAAGGAAAGCTAGCTCTAAGCTCTAAGCTAGCTCTCGATCATAAAGTCGCACATTATTGACAGCAGGCGATGTACAAGACTATCGTTAAATTGGAAGTACATTATTGCGCATGACCAGTTAAAGTAAACAAAGCAATAATGGCGGCCAATTCGATGTTAACTTATAAATTTTTAGTTAAAAAGAAGAGAAAACGCAATTCTTACAGTGGATGTAACTTGGACATTCGTAGATACTTGCAGCGACGGAAGAAAGTTCAAATGCTGGTTTTAATTCTGATAAGAATTCTTTTTTTCGTTTGCTATGGAAGCTGCCATTTTTAAAGTTGCGCGCGCTGCCGGAAAGACAAGTACGCCCCCTATTGCCGCACGAGAAAAAGCCGGCCTTTTGTGTTTCCACTGAGTAAATGAAAGCCGGCTTTCATTTGGCCCCCGATAAATTGCCGAACGAGAAAAGCTTCAATTGCCAAACCGTTACGGTTCCCGAACGCTAACGGTTCGGCAATTTGTCAGTGGAAACACAAAAAAGCCGGCTTAGAGCCGGCTTTTTATGTCACTGGAAACACAGTTATATATGGGTATACCAAGTATATCTTGGTGGAAAGAAAGAGATCTCTCTGTTTTCACTATCAGTATTAGAAGTTGTTGAAGTTGTAGCTCAGTGATCTGGAAAGTTCACCTGGGCCTCTTCATACAGTTAGTTTTTAATGAGATTACCACCTGTCCTTTTACCACTGTATTACTTCATTTTACCACGTGGTAAACTCATTGCCTATCATCTGATATGACTATGTCATATAGTGCAGTTTAAATGATGCTCAAAATAATCTTGTGTTCTATCTTTAAAAATATTCTTGTAATTTACTCTTAAAGTTTCTTCAAATCCACCCACATTTCAGTTCATTTGAGGTAGATTTCTGAATGGAAGTTTTTACAGAATGTGCTCTCGAGTGCCTGTAAAAGACGTCAATTGATTCTGAAAGCTTTTGAATTATCTGTAACACTGCTGCTGAAGGAAAATTTACATGCTGAACAGTTTTTATTTGAAACTTTTTTGGATAAAAACCTATTGCATGTCCAAAATATATAGTATACACAAGCTCGTTGGCAAAGTTTTATAAATGTTAAATATGAATAGCAGCCAAATAGAGATTTCATGGATTGAAGTCAAATAAGAAATCCACTCTGTCTTTTCATAGTCTCATTAAAGTAAGTGTTGCTGTTCAAAAGACCTTGACAATAGAATAGTTTCAAAATCTGTTTGCTACAGGCTTTAAGAGCCTGTGACAGTAAAAAATTGAAAAACAGTATGGTAGTTTTATGCAGCTATCCTGACAAAATTTTTCTCATTGCTCACATCTTCATTAGCCCAATAAAGTGCAGAAAGTTTGGACATGAAAAGTTAAAGTTTGATTGTTTGATATAAGATTGGGTTAGTAACTAGACAATAAACATTATAGTTACATGTAGTTTCTAGCAAGCTGTAGAAGGTTTGATGTAATTGTAAGATTAGAACCTGTTAATATTTGACATATGTTCAACTCTAAAACCTGGCAACCATCTAGATAAGGTAGAGTGATATTTTTTTATTTCACCAGACCTAACTTACAATCTAATAGTTAACAGATCATGTTGAAGACATTCTCTATTCTTAAAGCTAGTCTGGTATTAGAAATATGTAAGAATATAGGTGGTTAGTGTGAAATATTCTTCTTTCAACATGTGAAGCAGCAGAAGAAATAGCAGCTGTTGACATCCTTTCTACCCTCCCAGAAAATTTAAGTCTTCCATTGTTTTGTATATGTGCCTTGCTTTCCACTAGTTATCAACATCATCATGTCCAATTCAAAATTGCAGAATCTTAACCTTTGACCAGTTCATGATTAACATTGTAGGGGTAATTGAAAACACACGATTTTTCATGGTCATGGTTATTTGACATACACAGCAGGCCTTAAGTTACAGGGGGTGAGGGAACCCAAATAAAAGATGGATTCCCCCATTAAAAAATTCTGATAACCGACCAATTCCATTACTGCACCATACACCATTGCCCCTCCAGATATATTACTTGTCCCTCCGAACAATCAAGTCAAGCTATAGGTTTGCTCAACAGACACTATTTTACAGATCTATTGAGAAATTCTTGATCTATAGTGCTCATGGACATTTTCATGATTTTCACTTCATAAATGAAATGAATATGTTTTGACCTTGTAATGTGTTTTTCCCTCTATTTTTTATGACCATCCACTAATGAGTTGGTGAAATCTGCTCTCTACATTAATTATAGTGATTAGTTAAGTTGGTCCTGATATTACTTAAACTAGGGAGAAATTCCTTTATCTCAAGATATGGCAATTCTATTAAGAAATAGTTGATGTGTGGCAAATCATTCACCCAGTGTTGGGAAAGAGTTTTACATATGTTGTGTATTGCCTGTTTACTAAATTGTAAAAATGTTGTCTTAATTTAGAAAGTCTGCTTTTCATTTACCTTCATAAACTGGGACGAGCTTTCTTCAATCATTTACCTGGCAGTAACTAAAGTCACATCTTTCTTTACTTTACTTGACACCTTACGTGTTAGTCTATGGTATGCAGCGCTAGCACGAATATTCCTGTATTTGAGAATTCTGATTAAGTTCTTCTGCAGACCAGACTTGGTTGTAAATTGGATATATTTTGTCAACAGTCCTTTTGTTGTGATATCATTGTTTCTTTTCTACGGATTTTATTTCTGAATTTGATCCGTTTCAAATTTGATCCGTTATGATTGAAAAGGGATTTATTTGCAATTTGGTGGAGTAGCGGATATATTAAGTTCCGTGAGAGTGGGATCAAACTGTCTAATCTGTGATAATGTATAATAATTGGGGATATTCGTGGAATTGGAATAACCAGTATAATAATAGATATCCAACTACGGCACCACAACAGTTGTCAGTGACTAACACCTCAGCTCCTAGTTGGCAAGGTTTACAATATTGGGTAGGTGTTATTTACTGTTTTCTAGTGACCACACACAGTTCTTCTCACCAGTCTCCATTCCCAGTTCACACTTTGATAATCTTTCTTTATAGCCTGTAGGAATCTAACGGTCTTAATATGACATTGATATATAGGCACATATCTATCTGATCTCACTGGTCATGGACATTTACAGCAGGAATCTGAGTGAAGAAAACTGTCAAAATTAGAATAAACAGATCTAGTCATTACTGTTGCCGTTCTCTGGGCATCATTTTCTTACCTTCACCTTTGAAGAGCTACAAGTATACAATAATGTTATATTGATAACACAAAATAATTTTCTAGTTAGTTGCTTTCTAATTACCAGTACTAAATGCAACTTAATGTTATATTTCTATGGTATTTTTACAACATGTTGCTTATTGTGTATTTACTTAACAAGTTAAAACTTGCTGAAACATTGTACTGAATGTTGTTTTGGTCCAGGGTGGCTTTTCACCAGATTTATATACCATATAATCTTATCTAAAGGTTATCATTGTCATCAGAGTTTCATTTAAATTCATGTCATTTTCTGGAATTTTTCTCATGGTTAATCAGTGAAAAATATACACACAGCACCAAGAAGATTTATTTTACCAGGTTCTTCAAGTGTGACACCTGTTGGTCAACAGCTGCAACAATATCAGTTCTCTCCCCTTGTTTGTACAGACGTGGAAGTCAGTAGCATGCTGGGTAGATAGAAACAAACCCATGTTATTTAAAATAACCATAATAATGAATGATTGTCTCTGATCAAATTACCATTCACACAAACACAATCACAACACTGTTATATTTAAACATTAACAAATTTCAATTTTAATTATTACATCATATTTTAATCTGAATTTTATTATTGTCATTCATTAATTGACAATGGATTAGTATAGGCTTTGTATTGTTTTTGAACCATTGTCTATCTGTATACATGTCTATGTATAATTTGTAAATTTGTTTTATTTCAATTGGTTTATTTTATATTTTCCAGGGTAACCATTCTTCATTACCAGACAGATCAGCAGATGGAAAGAATAAATTTTCTAGTGAGTATTTAGTATTTATTTTTAAAGAGTTTGGATTCAGTCGAGAGTAATGATATTCTAAGGATGTAGCAGGTTATTGCTTTATAATGTCCAATGTATAAGATGAATCCCTCTTGCTTGCTGACTTCTATTGCACTCAATTCAAGAACGTTAATTTTGAAAGTCCGTCAGTGTTGGCTTTTTCCACCTTCCTGTTATTGAGTCAATAATTTCTGATTTTCTCATTTCAGCTTTAAGAGAACAGCCATCTGATCAGTCCACAACTGATGGATCTATAAAAGTTGAAAAATTAGATAAATCATTGGATATATCTAAAGGTTCCATACCAGATGTGAAAAAATCTGAGAAAAAAATAGCTCTACCTACTAAACGTACTCGGTAAGTATTGTTCTGTTTCAAAGATATGGCTGTTTGCAGCTGTATAACAACCAAATGTTCAAAACTTTATAAACACTGCATTGTTTTTGTATATATTTCTAACAATGATTTTGGGTTTTCATATAAACACTGTCCCAAAGTATACCAAAAATTTTATGAGCAATACAGAAAAAATATTTAATCTCTGATCATTTTGCCAGGTTAGTTTTCTCACCTTAATATAGTGAAATATCAAACCTTTTGTGGAGCAACAAAATTACATGACAACAATCCACTATATTTTTAGGGATGATAAATAGTAATTTAAACAAAAATTAGATTACAACTTACACTACCTATACCACTTAGATTACCTAATAATAAAGTGGACTATTCAGGTTTTGATTTGGAATCAGACCCAAAAGTGTATGTATATCCATGCTGAACTATAAACCACTGTCAGTTTGTTAGTGATACAGGAAACAAATACTAATGCTCTTGATATTATTCTATTTTAGAAGAGCTGCACATCATGATGAAGATGAAGATGAAGAAGAGTGTAATAACCCAGAAGAAAAATTAGAAAGAGAAAAAGTCAGGAGACAAGCAAATAATGCCAGAGAAAGGTAAAATGATAAATATAAGAATAGTATTCAACAAATTCAAAGATTTGGAAAGCTAATTGGAATTGTAAGCACCTGGACAATAAACCGAGGTCCGGTATGTCACAGGCTGTGCACTCGACAGTTGGAAATTGCGAAAGAGTAGGCTAATGCCCCAGTCCTGGCCAAATATCCCTTATTGCAAACTGCATGGTGTTTCCTGTCTTCATCAGCCCAATGAGTTGCAGAAGGGTAGGACATGAAACTCCATCCATTTCATTTCCCTTCTAAAGTGTTATTTATTTTTCTAGAGTTAGAGTGAGAGATATTAATGAAGCATTTAAAGAATTAGGTAGTATGGTATCATTACATTGTTCTAGTGGACAACCACTTACTAAATTAATGGTCTTACAAAGTGCTGTTACAGTTATAACTTCACTAGAAGGTCAAGTTAGAGGTAGGTGTCTAACTGTATTATTCTGACTATAATATGCATACCTTCTAATATCTTCTTCAGGAGCATACACAATGTCAAGCTATTACAAATTTCGTCATATATCTTAACCGCAATAGCCATGTATTTCATTGGATGATACTTCAGGGAATACAGCCAATCAGAACCTTTGACATTAAGACTATAGACATTATGGTTTAATATTGTTTACATACTTTCTGTCAAGCAAACATTCCAATCAAATCATTTCATTCACAACTTCTGTGATACAAGAAAAGTGGCTATTGCAGTTAAGGTATAAGATGGAAGTTCATAATAGCTTGACATTGTAAAGATTTTTGGCTGTAGACATACACCATCCAGTAAACCTTAATATATAGTCTTATTAGTTGTAATGGCGTTAATTAGTTATATACAATTCTCCTTATAATTTGTCAAATTGCTTCAAAGCTTTGACTGGACCCTGATGTAAAGATGATATTATGGTTTCAAATGTTTTAAACGGAAATTATTCATGAATTTGGCAGAATTGGATGCCTTTTTATCATATGAAAATCTCTTCAATTTCAGAACGCAATTTAAATCCTAAAGCAGCATGTCTAAAACGTCGTGAAGAAGAAAAAACAGAAGATATACCTGGTCGAACTATTAATTCTGTGAATTCAGTTGGTTCTGATGATATGACACAGCAGGCAGTACTAGCTGGCAAGGTACGATCATCATCTCCTTTTTATACTTTAGCGTTTTAGTTTTTAAACATTTTAACGAACTTCACATAATTAAATTTAACACTGTTAACATGTGTTTGTTTTTATCTCAGAGTTGACTCATCAATTTAAATATCCTGTCAGAGCACAGTTGGAAAATAAATTGAAATTTTAATTAACTTTTAAATATTTTTTCAATATCAAAGAGCTGTTCTTCACTTTGTAAAAAAAAAAAAAAATAAATTACACCATAGGCATTTACATTTCATCTTTTAAGTATCTTACTGAAGTTTAGAATTTTTTATCACCCTGGATTAGATAAATATATTATTCTGAATCATTGTTACGTTATAAAAGAAATATCTCAAAATCTACAGGATAATTTGGTATTCATCTCAGACAGCCATTCGAAACTAAAGTCCATACAAATTTAGGCTTGAATTTTATTTTTGAAATTCTGAAATTTACACTTCATGTGTGACTATGTCTAAAAAATTTCATAATGAAGAACAGTCAATGTTAAATGTTTATCATGTACATACCAAGCCCACATTAACTTTTGACCTTTTGGATAGATAGTGCGGTCCTGAGCAGACAGGAGAGAGCAATCCAGGCGGTGGATGGTGGTAGCCAAGTATATCCAGTATAGTGAGATAACGGACCAGTATCAGATATATAGTAGAGGACAAGTGATAGAAGATATGACCACATAAAGAACCCAGTGAAAAAATTACAAATTGATAGTTTTAAATGGTATATATATAGAGATATTGGGAACATTCTTGGAAGCCTAGAAAATTCTGGTAATGTGTTGAAATGTGATTTATTTTGGGTGAAGACTATAAAGTAGATGTGTGTGTGTATATTCTCACCTTCATGCCTTATGTATGATAAAATAAATAAAAATATAAATAAACAGTTTATTATATAGTGAACAATATGGATGACAGGGATATGCTCGTCCACAAAGGAACTGATCGTGCAGTGCTTAAAATAAGAAGACCAAAGTTGTGAACAATGCAAGTGAGTTTGTCACTGCGGAAGGTCTGAAGTGAAATATGATAGCTCTGTATATGATCATATGATTTTAGTTGTGAATGAAATCTTCCACAAAGTGTGAAAAAAAATAACAGCTCTATATTAACCATGTATAAATGACGAAAAAGTTTTTTTTTTTTTTGATCAACTATGATTATTTTCTGATTTCTTGCTTTAACAAAATGAAAAGCTGAATTAATCGTTAACATTGAGATCATTGTGTATATCATCTATTCATTCAGTGCAACGTTTTGATTTTTTTCTTCGTCAATTTATTGATGATAACATTTGAGTTTCAACTAAGCATAATTTACAGGAGATAAAATCATCTCAAGTCGTGCATAAAGATAGAAATATTAACTAGTGAAGATAGGACCTCCATATCTTGTGTTCTAGATTACTTGTCTTCAGTTTATTTTATAGTGCACACTCATAGTGTTTTTTTTTTTTTTTCTTTGGTGCATTTTTAATCTGAACATATTATTTCATGTGTATAAAGTATCACGTATCATCATCCTATTATCAGACATAATATCGGTGTAGAGAAATGTAGATTGTGTGATGTCTAGCCGAAAAACAGGTTGTTCCATTTATTGTGCCTACTTCAAAATGATGAATTCTATGTGAAATTACAGAAAATTGCATTTATATCTTAAAGACTTGTGTTGAAAACATGTAAAGATTTTATTATATATTTATTTCATTATCACTTTCAAGATTGTTGCTTTTTTTTCAAATCTTGTGGTTTTGTGCTGAATTGATGTGTTTTTCTGGGCATATTTGTCAATTATTTTGGGTAAACATTTTGATTTTGAAAGATATTCAGATCCCAATAGCCAATTTTATAAATTGCAATAGACTTATGGCTGCTCATGGATTAAGGTCAATGGTTTTTGCTAAATTTTCATTGTGGTTTATTCAAATTTGATTTCAATTAAACACACTGTTAACAGTAAATGAGCCATAGAGATCATGATGTTATATTTAGCTGTGATGTTTCCTTCAGCCAACAACTGCATTATACTTGAACTGAACACAAACTGAATATTTTTCATCTTGTGTAAGCCCAAAAATTTCATATGAATACTATTGGACACTAAGAGTTGAATACAGCGTTGAAAAGTTGATATTTCCAAAGCAAGGGAATATCTTTTTGGTCACCACCTTTAAGTATGAACTACCAAATTGAATTTAGTTATATGATATTGCCGATTGACAAATATGCCTACAAAGTACATCATTGTAGTTTTAATAATATATTAATTTAGTTTTTAAGTGGCTTATTGAGGGATCTGAGGGAACTAATGTAGATTGTATGTAAATTATTATATATAAAAACAAAGCATTATACTGTATGATTTTTTACAAACTAAATAAAGGGGCGCTCTGGGTTAAGGATTTTTTCAATTTTTGTCATTTGGGTCCAAAAAAATATATAAACTCTCTGATGTCGCTGATTTATAGTAATATTACCCAATTTGAAACGATGTCACAAATTTTATGGCTTTGTGTGGTAAATAAATCTCAATGAAAACTTCTTAGTTTTTTTCATATAGAATTTAAAACATGTACTTAAAAATCTATTTTACAAATAAGAATAGAGTATTTTATATATACATAGATCTGTTTATAAAGTAATTTTTGCACTTAAAAATTTCATGAGTGTTCGTGAAATAAGGTTTTTTGTGTGACTTTTAAAATGTCATAGCTCTCTAGAAATAAGGTAAATACATCTTTTATTTCAGTGGAATAATCTCGAGTAGAAATTTTTACAATAATCATTTCTGTTTTTTTTTCTCCATTTTTTTTTTAATTCATGTGCTGTGCACATTTTAATTGTGTTCTTAATCCATCTTTATATAACAGGGTGTCTTTTACGTGATTCCAATTCTGATAATTTTATGATTTTGTTGCTATAACAACGGCAAAATAATCCTAATCTTGAATTAGTTTTTAATCCAAAATTAACATATAATGTCAAGGTGCTTTTTGAACAGCTCAATTCTTCAAAAAAAAAAACCTGGAATTTGTGAAAATATTTAGAGGATTGACTTTATTTGGTCATTGCATGGCTTTCTTGAACTGAATAACTTAAGAGTTAATGATCGTTTATATTCGGACAATTTTATGGGTTTTTTTTTTTGATTGTAAAAGATATCACCAAAATGTTCAAATTGATTCATTACTAATTATATTTGGTTAACAAATTGTACATATAAAAATTATATCTCAAAATTGTTGATTTTGTAAAGAAAATATAAAACCTTATAGAAATATAAATATCACATCATTGCTAGAGTTGTGAATTATTAGGATGAAAATGAAACCCATCTAGATGAAAAAACATCTAGTTATGGTAAAAAGAATGGTAAATTTTTTTTTACATGCTTTTTCTGAACTGAATTAAAATTATTTATTTTTTAAGACAATTATGGTTTAATTAATGTTTTTAAACAACTTTCTTAAAACTTGTTTCACATTGTTGTTAATTAAACAAAAATCACTTTCAGCAGTGCATTTCAAATTGACTTAACAAAATTAGTATGGAAAGCAAACTTTAATGTGTTTTTTGGTTCCATTGATGTCAATGTGAAGGGTATTTTAGAACTCAAGTTAAGTTTTTAGTTTGATGAAATTTAGCTTGTGAAAAAGCCTCATTATGTAAATGTATAAATTGTTTAAATAATTTTATGTAGCAAGAGATTTTGTCCTTTCTAGTAGTATTAATAACTGAAAACAAGATAATTTTTTTCATAGTTATCTTGTTACCATCTGTTTTGAGGAAAGCTTAAAATCTCTTACATCTTACTGGTCAATCTTTTTTATTTCCTGTTTTCTGATTGGCTATAATGTTGTTCCACAGACTGTTATGTGGATTGGGCTTCCAAAAATCAGAGTTTGCCGCGTTCATCAGTCAAATCATTATCATTGTAATATCTACAAACTATGTAAATGAAATATCAGCATGTTTTGAGCTAATAAATCTTGCATGCCAGTAGATGGTTTCATTTCCTTTCTTGGTTTTACTAGCTGTTATGTTCACCTCATCAGAAGCGAAGTGGGTCAGTCCAAAGTCTAAGGACACAAATCCCAGTGTCTCATCAATTACTTGAAAATGTAATGACTGAAATTCAGTGAGAAAATTGAAGTTTTGGTTGTCACAATTTGCTAGCTGAAGTAGATTGATCAGATGGATATGAGGTGGGGGGGTCCTTAAGAAACTCAAAGGTCGGAGAGTTGCTCAGACTTTCCCTGACCTCAACTCAAACTAAAATGTAGATTTTTTTCAACAGTCAATACTATAATGAAATTTTCCTGATAAATCATCTTGATGTACAAAATAGAAATAATAATTGTTACTTTTATATTCAATTCTCAATAAATATTTAACGAGAAATTTAAATACTCTTGAAAAATACAAAATCATGATTTTAGAAAACTATAAAGAACAGAATAATAAAAAAATCACAGTTAAATATCACAGATTTACATTTTAAGTTAAAAAAATTAATGAAATATTTCATAGTCTTAATACTCTGTCTCTTCTAACATCATCACATATATTCTGTATTTTACTGGTCAGATCTCCTAATATTAAATACGTCTAAAAAAAAACAAATAACACCACAAATTAAAGAATATTTACACAAAATAAACCAAGAAACGTAAGCATTGTAATGCGCAGTACTACCTATGTCATCATATCTGGAATACAGGTTTTGACATAGTCTTACTAACTCGTATTAAACTAAGCCCACTACACTTTGTTTTGTGGGTTTGGAAATGAGATGATGCAACATTCTTTCCTAGTAAATATTCCACAGTAAGGTTTGACTCAATTCTATATTGTCCATTTTAATCAAAACATTTCATATCAGAAAATATTTAGCTATGAAAATGTAATTTCTCTTACTAGTAATACCACGGTCTCAAGGAAATATGAGGAATGGGGGTATGGTTTGGTCTTATATCCTAAAGTATTTATACATGACCAAGCAATATGAAATGAGTATCTTTGCATGATGAAAAGATTCCTCAAAACAATATACCACTACGAACAATTTAAAAATTTTCATGTTGTGATTATACATTTCAAGTACGAACTTTGACCAGTTAAACCCACTTATTTAAAAGCAACAGTCAGTGGTACTACTTGAGTAGAAGATTCCAATCGAATACAATTCAGGATTAAATTAGATGAGAAAATGGAGGGTAAAGGACCCTTGAAATAAGCATAGAAAAAATTTCACAAAACGCTTATGATAGTTTATACCCTTACTATGATGCTACAAACATGAAACCTTGAAATCCATTTAGATTTTATAATTGGACTTCCTAATTAAAACTATTATTAATACAAAGATGATGAAAATAAACCTGGATTAATATTAACCTTGAAATGTTTAATCCTTATTGTTAGATTATTGAAGGTTAATTAACCCTTTAGTTAGAATTAAAAAGCTTAAGAACAGATTATCTCTATGACCTTGATAACAAAATTTTTTAATATCCTCTCTGCTTTTTAGAATCAAAAATAATTTTCGGGTAGTTTTTTTTAGTAATCTATAGGTCTAAGACTTTGATGTCTGCATAAGCCCACATATCTCATTCTGCACATAAAGAGTAGGTTTATGCCGCTGTCCTGGCAAAATTACCCTCATTGTACAATGCATCTAATTGCACTGTCCTGGAAAAAATTTAATTCATTTTACAATGCATGGAATTGCATGGCATCATTTTTTGTCCATTGGTTGCAGGAAAGTGGGACACCATTCATTTCATTTTTTTGTTCATAATTTTTCTTTCCATGGTTTCTTAAAAAAAAACCTTACCAATATACCGTTAACTATGAACTTATGTTTAATACATACCATGCTATATAGTTTTTCTTTATATTTTTTATCAACTACAGAATCAAATGTTGGAGTAGGTGAAGGTGTTGGTGTTAAACTATTTTCACCAATGGGTGTTATAGCATCTATACGACTCGGTGTTTTCTTAGGTGCTGGTGTTATTTTACCCTTACTTTCTACAGGCTTAGGCAACTGCAATTCAAGACAAAATCTTTTTTAATTTTCAGAAAATTTCAAGGAATGGAATAGGTCATAATCGGACTATATGACAAACCATAAATAGTGTTATGATTAGCTATCTTAAGAGAATTGTAAAGAGGTTTTCAAAATTTTGAATGTGATTAAGGAAACTGCTAGCATGCTTTATCATAAGGCTCTTAGCGACAAACAGCATCGAACACTTGGTATGAATCTTATGCCTAGACAGTCGTAGAAATGAGACACTGACCTCTTTTGCTCCCTTGGTACCTTTAACTTCTTTAGTTGGGGTAACTTTCTTGTCCTGTTTAGGTTCAACTTTGGGTTTCTCTACTGATTTGGATCTTTTATCACCTGTAGACAAAGAGACAAACTTTTTTAATAACCTCAAATTTCCCTCTGCCATTGTTAATGGTATTTTGCCAATCATTCTAGATACATGAATTTATTGGATTTAACATTTATTTACATTTGTCTTTTAATAAAATGTACACCACCATGGGCAAAGTGTTCTGTAGTGGTTTTGCAAAGGAGATAAGCCAAAAAACCTGATTTCTCTGTCACTGACCTTTATACAGGCATGAAAGAAACTAATTTTCAAGTATAGAAGTTAAATGAAGTAAAAATAACTTTCTGATCAAAGAACAAAAACAAATTGAAGAACAAAATCAAAGTCTTTCAAATTCAAAAATCTTTCAATCTAGCCATCAATTCAACAGAAACAGGCCACAATAAAATTGAAATAAATACAGTAGGTTGAATAATATTGAGATCATTTCTTAATTGGTTATTTTATGTTAGATTAAAAGCTGAATATATTTTGATGATTATTTTATTCAAAGCAGAAGTAATGATATAGCCGGTCTAAGGGAAATAACTCTAAAGAATAAAGAAAAGAAATCAGACTACAATCATTGTAATAGGTTTGAAATATTGAAAGGGTTAAAAAGTTGAATTTTCTAGCCACACTAACTCACCCATTCTATTTTTTTCTTCATTAAAAAGGAAATAAAAATCAATAAAATTGAAAAAAGAAACAAAATATAAATATAACAAATTAAACTAGATACAAAACTAAAAAAAATGACAAAAAATGGATTAAATCTATTTTACATTTATTGGAGTAGTTTTCGAGTCTTCATTGAATTTTTCTGAGGCCTGTATGTAAAAGTATGTAATAAAACAACAACAGTTAGCAGTTGTTCCTTGCCAAACTGAGCACAAAATTTTAACTTTAGGTTTCCTTGTAACTATTTTGTTCATATACCTGAATTTTTCATTTTGTTCCTGATGACTGTGGGAGAACCATTTTTAGAAGTATTTATCCATGATGATTTTTAGAAATATTGAAACAAATGATAATTGTTATATTTAAATACTTTCGTATACTAGAAATAAATTCTATAAAAATCTAAAAAAAATATATGTAAATCTAATTGGGTCTTATATCTAGGTCCTGGATGTTAAAATTAGCCATTCCATTACATTGTAAAAAACTACACTAATCTAAATTTGGTCTATGACTATAATGTTGTTCTAGTAATATCAGCAGTCTACTAGCTTTACTCACTAGCTACTGGTAGGTCAGTTTCTCCAGACCCAAGTCGACCAGCTCGAACTTTTCCTTTTTTCTTATTTATGACTGGTTGATCAAGAAGTGGTGCAGGGATTTCAGTTTCTTCTGATTGGAAAGGGTATTAATTCAAATTGAACTTTTTATATTTATCATATAGCTATATATAAGTTGCTTGGACTACTTAATATCTTATATTTTGATCATAATTGATCATTTTTCATTTTAATCAAAAACAATTATCCTCATTACATCTATTCAAGTTTTCAGCGGACCCTAAAACTATCCCAATGATTCCACCTGATGCCAGAGTTTTATTGGGTGCCATTGTGTGTTCGATCACATCCTATTCAAAGCATGAAAACAAATAGTCCAATTATTTCATTGGATTGTAAACTTGTGACTACGGTAAATTACAGCTCCCAACATAAAAACTGTAGGCTTATGGTTTTATAGAGGACTCTGATTGACTGTATGTGTTAGCTAACCATCCAATCAAATTGCTGTATATACAAAGTTCTGTGATACAAAAAAGGTGGTTATTTCAGTCAAGTACAAGTAATAGCTTGACATTGTGAACATGATATTGACCATATTTCAAGATAATGTATAAAAACTAATTTTAAAACTTACTTGTATCTGAAGAATCATTAAAGTCTTTATCAGGGAGACCAATAGTTTGACGTAAATATATAGAATATCCACACATATTGTCTAGAGCTTCTGATAAATGATTATAAGCCAGTTTCTCCATTTCTTCTCGAACTGGTAAAGTTGGTATGAAAGACATTTTATTTACAGCTAGACTAACTTGATTTAACATTGGTTCCTTTAATTCATCATCTTCAGAGAGTTCTAATATTTTCTACAATAAATTACAAACGATGCTCCTTAATGGACTGAAACAGGCAATGTCATGCAGTGTGCAATGAGGGAATTTTCTCTAACCTTTATCACTGACCAGAGGAAACTGATTTGAGAAATTTGAAAATTCTTGACATTGTCCCATCCAAACAACTAAATACATTTTCCAAGGCAGCCTCTCCAAAAAGCATCATTGGCAAGAGAAACAGGTTTAAAAATCCAATTGTATTATATCGAACCATGCAGAGATTGAACCCTTGACTGGCAAGCAAGCTTCTTGCTCACTGCCACCACAGCTGCAAATGCCTACCATGAGACCCCTTAAGATAATATAACTATATATTCAAGAATACAAACCTCTTTCAGTGTATCTAGTGATAAATCCCAGTCTGCTGTATCTCTTTCTTCTAATGTAAATAACTGTTTATATATTCTCTTTAATTCTTCAACTTGTTCATATTTATAACACACCTAAAATAGAAATCATTAGAATATTGGTCTACAATAGAGGGTAAACCTGAAATATGCCAATATTTCTCTCTGATTGCTATCAACCATCAACATCTCCAATTGACTTTTTTCAGAATCGTATTTGTTTTCCATAAATTGAAATATCACCTCTAAAATAGTATGGAATATTGTAAATTTTTATTTGGAAAGAGTTCATATTCATACGTTTTACTTTTCTGCACCATGTGGCCTAATAAAGATGGGCAACGCCATGCAGGGTGCAATGAGGAAAATTTTGCCAAGACAGCGGCATTAGCCTGCTCTTTTTTCGATTTCCAACTGTCGAGGGATCTTTAACGTGCATAGCCTGTAGCACACGGGGCCTTGGTTTATTGTCCCATCCGAACGACTGGACGCTTTTTCCATGTCAGCCTGCATCACTGACAGGGGGAAACCAGGTTGAAAAATCTGAAGGTATTATCTCGACCTATGCCGGGATTGAACTTCAGGTTAGCGAGCAAGCATGTAACTCACTGAACCACCGCGGCTCCCTAGTTCATATTCAAGATACAATTTCATATGTTATATAACCTTTTATTTTTTGACATTCTACGATTAGTGTTTTTATTTGAATTTTGAAACAACAGAAGAAGAGTAGTTTGTATTTACATGTTTTTCCTATTACAAACTTCATCTTATACCTTGTCTGCAATAGCCACCTTTCGTATGTCACAGAAGTTTGTAAATCCAATCAAATCGGTGATAAGAAAAGTGGCTATTACAGTCAAGGTATAACAGAAAGTTAGTAATAGGTTGACATTGTACAGATGATGTTTTTATAATACAAACAAATTATTTTTATTTAAGTTAATAAAACAAGACATAAATTTGATGTAATGATAGAAATAGTTTGTCTGTTAGATTGGTTAAACTTACCCCATGATTAAGTCTAGTGAAAGTGTCTTCCTCTGTAATATAAGCATCAATAGGTGAACGACATCGTTCTGGTGTTCTAATACCATCTATTAATTCATATAATAAATATTTGACAACTTGACAAGCCTGTTTATCTTGTAGATCTTGCTATAATTATAAATAAAAACCAGACTTATTTACAAATCAACATCCAAAATTCCCCCAAAAATTTGAGAGTAATTTCACAGAAAGTGAAGTGAAATGGAGATCTATATAATATATTAAATACATGACAGTTACATATATTACAGTCTCTATTAGACATGACAGAGTTTCTATTTGACATGACAGAGCTTCTTTTAGACATGACAGAGCTTCTTTTAGACATAATGGTGATAGGGTTTCTACACAAAGAAACAAAAGGGCTTCTATTTGAAATATCAATTTCTTTTAGACATGACAGCTTCTATTAGACATGAAAGAGCTTCTATTAGACATGAAAGAGCTTCTATTAGACATGACAGAGCTTCTATTAGACATGACAGAGCTTCTATTAGACATGAAAGAGCATCTTTTAGACACGAAAGAGCTTCTTTTAGACATGACAGCTTCTATTAGACATGAAAGAGCTTCTATTAGACATGAAAGAGCATCTATTAGACACGAAAGAGCTTCTTTTAGACACGACAGAGCTTCAATCAGACATGACAGAGCTTCTATCAGACATGACAGAGCTTCTATAAGACAGAGCTTCTATCTGATATGACAGAGCTATAAAATGCAACAAAGCTTCAATCTGACAAGATTCTATCAGACATGACAGAGCTTTTATAAGACATGGCAGAGCTTCTACTAGACAAGTACAACCAGCCACTTGTGACCTCTTAATAAATTCTTAATACCTCAATAATTTCTCTATGTTTTTTATAAACGTCTTCTTGTAAAGCCACACCACGTAATGTTACTACCAATGCAGCTCCACCACAAACTACAGGTCTAGTTTCAAATAACCATTGTTCACTAAAAACTCCTGCATTAGGTGACTTGAATACAAACGGAAACTTCATAGTTTCACCTGGTAATACCACACCTGATCAAATAAAATAAGGTTTTACTTTATTTCTACATTAAGTCTGGGGAGACCCCATGGGAGCAAAGCGCCACAAGTTCTACAATCTGGGAGTTCGAAAATATATAAAATTAGAAGCCCAGAGAACTCACTCTGATGATTTCTAGGTTCTAATAAACTTTATCAAAATACTCATCTTTTGATTTTGTACAAAGACGCTGCAAATTAATCAATCTTTACTGAACTGAAGAAGGCTTGCTGGGACTTAATTCTCATTGCTGGGGCCCAGCCCTCCTGTGGACCCCACCCCACCAACAGGACTGATTGTACTATAATTAACTTACCACTACTATTGTTGAAATAAAAACGTTGAATATGAGAGGATTTTACTAATTCAAATGGATTATCATTATCTAGTTTCTGAAGAGAATAAAATACAGGTATAAATATATAATAATTCAGATAAACTTTCCCTGTCAAATAGTGAAACTCTGAGTAACAACATGTTTTTAAGTTAATAAACAAATTCTCTTATGCTTTATTCTTGTTTGTCACATAAATTTACTACAGCTCATTTCATGTTCAGTTAGTTTTTGAAATGGTGGCTAGTTTTCCCAAATGGGATCTTAGATGTAGATAATTCAAAATGGAACAAACAATAGGATGTGTTCTTGGAATTCTTTCTTGGTCTTCAGCCCTAGCAACCAGTTTACCAGTCAGATAATTACGCAGCATATACCCAAGCAGTCAGTAAACCACCGTAACCAAGTGACATCATATGCTTTAAGTTATATTAATTAAAGTTCAGAGTATATGAAGTTTTATTTCATTTAATCTGAAATTTAAACAACTTACTTTCCAATCATAATATATAGAAGTTGTACCATCATTTATAATTTCTAGGTAGGAGGTTATACGTTCATTGGTATAGGATTCAAATGTTACCCTCGCTTCAACACCCATTTCATTCTTAAAACTATGACTATCTCCGGTCCAACGAGCGGGTTGACCAGCAAACTGGATGGAAGGTCCAAATATAGGTGCTGGATGTACATCTGGATGTTCACTTAATGGATCACTGTAAAGATAAGGGGGTATTCAAGACATATTGCATTGCAGATTTATCAGCCAATTAGAACAATGCCTTGCAAACCCTTCGCAACCCTTTTTCATGACAGAGAATATAGCCTGACTGAAAAGAATTTAAATTATAGTTGTCCAAAAATTTTATGTTAGACCACATAGCACCTCATAACACCCAAAATTTCAAAATTACCCACACCAATGTTCAAAAGCCCTGCCCTAGTAAGATTGAACAATATTATACTCACACTATGGTATCTTCTGTTTCTGATTCAGCTTGTATTTCTGTCCAGTCTGTATCAGAATCAACATCAACTGTTGTTTGTAGAGGTCTGTTACTTCCAATGATTTCTAAACCAGCAAATTCCTGAAACATATAAAAGAAATTTTACTTTTTTTTCCAATTATATATCTACAAGCTATGCCAACAGTCTTCAAAACAACTTATGTGTTATTTAACTCCTGTTAAATTTGTTACATTCAAAACTAAGCATTTGGTATGGTCAAAGCGTCAACATCGCTTAGGGCTTTGACCATACAAGAATGCCTTATTTGAATTTTGTCTCCGAGAATTCATTTCTTGAAACTAGCCTTTTTTGGTGCCATGTATAATGATTCAAAGTTGTTTCATATAAAAGGTTGTATAAACTTGGTCCTTCCTTGGCTGGGTTTCTTTACAATTCTTGCTGCTGATGATGGGAAATTACAAATTCCATCATCTGTTGATCAATATCAAGATTGATAGGTTTAAATCAAATGCATTGAAAACTTACAGGTTGGTGTGGGTCAAGTTCATTCATATAAGGTTGTAGTTGTTTGACCCGAGATGACAGGTATGGTGTTTTATGCCAGGGATAATGTACTTCTGTATGATGATCTTCTGCCCAGGTCCATCCTATATAGAGAATATTATCAATTTTAAGGATATATGACCACAGATATAAAAAAAAAAAAAAAAATGTGGCACTTTATGTCATTACTTATCAAATGGCTAGACTGTCTAAATCAGGAGTTTTCAACCTTTTTCTTTCTATTACACCTTTCATGATCTTTGATTGATTGCAGTACACCCTTCCAACTAGAATTTTTATTATTTCCTGATTTTCTCTTAGGTTAATCTTTTTCCATGTTTGAGAATATAGCCTGACTTCAGTTTTACGCCAGACTACATAGTGTCTCATTACACTACAAAAATTTTCCCCATTGAAAACTCTAAAGATAGTGGACCATAGCCATATACACCCACCACGGCATGCAGATGGTAAATATTCAAGCAAGGGCAAGGGCAATAACTCTGCTTCTAACGGTCGAAAATAGCTCAAATTTGAACTTGATCTTCATTTTATGAATATGTAGACACATACCGAATTTCATTTGACGGATGGACCGACGGATGGACAGGGGTGCCGACAATATACGTCCACATAGAGAGATGTGGGCGTATAAAAATTTATATTAATAGTATCCACAGAAAATATATAAGAGAAAACTGAGATTAAACAGATATACAGATAAATTCTTACTGTCTTTATGGAATAGTATATGTTCTAGCAGCATTAATAAACAAATTAACATATTATTGATATTGAATTATGAATGATTTAATAAATAAATGAATTAAAAGACAAACAGGGATTCTTTTTTTTTGTTGAATTTACACTCATTCTTCAATATCTTTGCTATTAACATGATAACGGAGCATATCCTTTATTACAATCACTACAAGAACCTTTGTTGTGAGATTTTTATCAAAACAAATTTATCCTGAGATGAAAATACTTTGGTAGATTTTTATATGAATTTTAAAACCACATTATAATTCTAAAAATTCAACCCTTTTTCACAAAAGCCATTTAAGAATAAATGTATTCATGTATCTTAAGCTGCAATGGGGCATAAATATCAGAGTAACTTAATATTCCAAAAAAAAAATTGTCAGATTCCAAAATTTTCAAATGTATTTTGGTCAGAGCTCTTCAAAAATAAGGTAGAAAAATACTAACCTTTTTCTTTACGAACAGATTGTGGAATACCAATATGTTGTACTGGTGGTCCTATTCCTTTTTCTGTATCTTTTAAACTCATACTATAAATAACATAGTAAAATATTCATTGAATGAAAATGAAAGAAACAAGAATAACAACCAAGGTTCACAATTAAGGATCCTTTCTACTGGCTAGTCCTTGGCCAAACTTCTTGGCATTGATCCCTCCCAGATTATCCCTACCCATTTGCTAGGTCAACTGGAATTACGAGTGAAACATATTCAAGGTCATCGTTGATCAAAATTAGAACCCACAATCAATGACGTCATATAAAGTTTTGTGAACTGTTGAAGAGGCTGGTAAGCTGACATACACAGTTTGTAAGTGGTATCATGTGTTGATAGACAAAAGAGAAAATTAAAAAAGACAGAATCATTGAGTAAAAGACTTACTGAATACCATTAATATTGTCTCCTAGTAATTTCTGTTGATTCCAAAACTCACTGCCAACACGATCTAAAAATTATATAAAATATATCTATTATATATATATAAAAATAAACTGGGTACCTCTTCACATAAAAATACATATTTTTTACAAATTATTATAATATTTTTTGAAAAAGCAGGGAAAACAAAAAGAAAATTCACTTACATCCTTTACCGTAGTCTATAGCTGGAATAGTTTTCTCAATTACGTCTCGTTTTTCTTGTAAAACACGGTAATTATCACCTTGATTCATTACTAAATCTTCTGGTGGTACTTGTAATAATTCTGTAATATGGAAATGAAATGGTGTTTCACATTTCTCCACCTGATTGGGCTAACAAGGAACATTATGCAGTATGCAGTGAGGGAAATTTTGCCAGGCTATATTTTGAGGGATCTTGATTTACAGTCTAATGACTATTTCTATTTTAGCCTTCTGACCTGCATCCCTGAAATGGGGTCATTTCGTCTATTAAACTAAAGAGATTGTAAACTTTTTTGTGTATCTGTGACATTGATAGAATTTGCACCATTCCAATTTTCAATCAGACATCTCAGGCTCTTACAATTCCAGAAAACATTTTATAATGTCACTATAGCAAAAGCTGCTATTAATATAATATAGGACCTATAAAACACATAATTTAAGTGGAATTGAAAGAACAACAGACATCTGATTGAAAATTGGAATGGTGCAAATTGATGCTATCAGTGCCCCTAAGACAAATAATATTTTTTTAAAATCTCTTCACAATCCCTTTAAACCTTACTAGTGTCAAAATCAACTTACTAGAAATGTATCCCTGCTGTTTTTTCCTTTCTATCATTTTCATCTGCCAGTTTATTAAAGCATTATTCTCTTCAGCTTGTCTTCGTGTTTTCTGAGATCTGGGTCTTTTCTTTTCATATTTAACTGTAGGTTTATCAGATTGATCTAAATCAAGTGTTGGTGTTTCTACATTCTACAATTTAAACAGATCTTTTAATGAATGCAGAGGTTTTCCCTCCTTTTGAGAAAATGAAATAGAGTTTTAAATCCAACTGTTTTCGCCACAGATTGAAGACAGAGCACCGTGCAGTATGCAATGTGGTATTTGTTGTCAGGGCATCACTATATATGCCTTCTTTTTTCAATTTCAGACATTCAAGGGATCATCAACATGCAGAGATTGTAATACACAGGGCCTTGATTGTCTGTTCCCAATAAAAAATACTTCAATGTAATCTATACCAAGATTAAACCATGATCCTTCAAACCCTAGAATTTCAGGTTAGCAAGCAAACTGTGTCACCTTGGCTGCCTTTCTCTAGATTCTCTGAAAATTTTCATCAAGTTACTTGCTGAGTTCAGGCATCTTAATATGTATCAGAAATACAGCAGATAGTGATAAAGAATACAATACAAGGGAAATAACTCACAATAAAATCTCCACGTTTGACAGCCTCATTATGAAACTCTTCAAATCCACCCAGAATACTGTGTGATAGTACATCTCCATTATAATTATATCTAGGTCCAGCATAACCAGTATAGTTAATAGGTTTTAATGGTGCATCTTCTGGTGCTGGTTTAGCTACAGTAACACTGAAAAATAATTACTGAATTTGTAGGCATTTTAAAGGGGAAAGAAGAACATTATATATTGATATATTATTTACTATTAGCTATTATTTTTTCCATTGGACTAATACAAATTCGTGTGGCGTTTATCACCATTACTCATTGATGTCATTGTATCAAATAGGCCGTCTCCAATGTAAACAATCAAGAAATATTAAAGCCTTATGCACATTTATTTAATTTTCCTGCCAAACTTGTCCTGATATACGACCATAACCGCCATAGGGTAACAGTTTATTGCTTAAATACTATTTCTGAAATTTATTGACTCAACATTTCATATGCTCAGTCAGGCAGCATTATCGAAAACAGTACATGTCCATGTAACAACCAATTTGTGGACATTATTTCAGTGCTAGCTTGTCTCTACTTACTTGAGAGGTTGAGGTTTGCCTGGTTCTGATGGAGGTCTAACTTTACGTATGCTGACATTTTTAATAACGGGTGTACTTTTTCTTTCTGATGGTGGTCTAGGGTCATGAAGCTACAAAAAATATTAATAAATGAAAAACATGCAAAAGTTTGCAAATATAGGAATTCGAATGCATGTTCTCAAATTTCCTAGGTTGCCATGGAAACATCTGCAGTATTAAATCAAAGTTTCTTTTAAGACAATTTACTAGTAAAAGATTTCTGGTTTTTTATTTCATTTATGATAGATATGAAAACAGACATTTGTGGAATTCAGATAATAAATTTGTTGGTTAGCTAATATTTGTTAAGTTTTTAAATAAATTTGTTCATCAAATTTCTGCAAAATCACCAAAGTTTCTATTTCTACTTATTTTGTAATCCAAGGCTTAAATTTGACCTCCTGGCTCTGTACAATTAATTATAGATTTTAGTTATAGTTACCTTTTGTATTTCTTCATGTTTGATTTGTAATTTTTCAATGTCTTCATTCCATATAACATTCATAGAGGGTGGTCTGTTTTCATCTGATACATCTTGGGATGGTGTAGTTGACTTCTCTGGTGTCCCATCTCGCTTTTTATTTTTCAACCGATCTGAAATTACAAAATTATCACGTCAACTGTTTGCTCACTTTGTACACTACAATTACAAACTAGAACAAAAACATTAGAATATGATGTCATTTGCTTTCCAAAGGTTACATTGAAAAGAAATAGTTATCGTGGGTTCTAAGCTTGGTCAGCTGGTGAAAATATTCCAGTTGACCCAGCTGGAAATGGGTTTAGATAATCCTTGAAATATCCATGCCAAGAGGATTCATCAGGTACAGCTTGAAGACCGGATCCTAGTAAGTCTAAATTGTTATCCTTGTGAAAGAAATTGTTGTTTCTTCTTTTTCTTTTGAAACTTTTGAAACTTTGAGTCCAATACTTCCATTTTCTTTCTTTTTATTCAAAATAATATCAATATTTGTATTCTGCTTTAACATTCATACATTTTGTTTAAAACTTCATAGAAAACGGAGAACAAAGTCCAACTAAATCCATATGACATTAACATCCCTTACTTGGTCCAGAAGGACGTCTGCTAAGACCTGTAGATCCAGGACTCAACTGTTTACTTTGCCTCCTCAATAGAGACATTATATCACAAACTTGGGGAGCTTTCTACATGCTGAGCAGACTTTAACCACTAGTCAACTGATAGTAACTATAGGGGTTGCCCTTAATACACAAAGATGGGTCAAACTAATCAAAAGTGACAGGTTTGGTCAATTCTACATTATGAATGTGAGAGGTTATTGAAAAGCATAAGTCTTGCCATTGTTAAATACAATAGAAATGATTCTTACTAGTTTTAATTTAAAGATTAATATTACATTGAACAATGCAGGACAAAGTTCATGGTGGGTACCTTCGGTACATTTTATTTGATCAGAGTAAATTATTAAATATATCACTTGATTTGGACAAAAAATACCTTCATGGTTCATGGTTGCTTGACAAACCTGGCCCTACCCATGCCAGGACTTATAGATGTAATATTGTCACAGTTAGGACCAGACTCAAAAGTTTACATTTTATGTGAATTGCTCTGATCCATTTTTAGATTTCTAATTTTGAGAATGACAAAAGAGAAATTTGGCAAAATTTTTGGTATTGATACAAAACTGAACAATTAATGAGTACATCAAGACATTTCCAGATATTCTGTAATGTCCGTGTGCCTGACATAGTACCACAATACAGTCAAAGGGTAGGCTTTATCCCTCTTTGTACAACTCAAGTTAAGGCTACCCTAGACTGTATTGTGGTACAGGGTGAGAAAATCTTTCTTTCCCAAAATTTCAAGCTAATTCACAGTTTGACTAATCTTAGTTGCAGCTTATAACTTAGACTATAGAAATTGTGACCAGTGTCACAAGTAAGGCAGGGTTCGCTCAAACTTTTACCTTATGTAGCCTTGAAAAATATCACTCATAAATAAACCAATTACTAACGATCCGAATCACAAAACCAAACACAAAATCCAACAACATATTGGGGAAACATTGGTAGCAGGTAATAAACAGGAAGTAGATCAACCATAAATGAATAAGTATTTCATAATGAAAAGAGATAACAGGTGTCTAGAAGAATAAGCACTAACTTACTCCAATGTTTCTTCCTTATAGTTGTTGTTAAAAAATGTTTGCTGTCTTCAGAATTGGACCTTCGACTGCAGCAAGCTGGTGCTGATTTAAAACGAGCAATATCAGATTTATGCTGAACTGGAAGTTGAACTGAAGCACTGCGCTTAGTTTGTCCAGACATCTGTCTTCACTGAGTTATCAAGATTTGTGACTTATCAAAAGGCTTGGCTCGGGTTTCTTAACATAATACAACATGTTCATGTCTTAACCATGTTTATCTTAAATTCCTAATTAGATATTAAACCATTTTCAACATTAAACAAACACCATGAAATAGAGTGAGAGAGCATAGTTTGGACATAATTAACTTTGAACATGACTAAACTAGTCTGTTGTTTTACTAACACTTTATCTAAGTAAATACTTAACATATTTCACCTGCTCTAATTATTACAACATATTTTAGACTTGCGAACAATACACTACTATTTAAATAAGAAAACTAATGGTAGAAAAGGGGCTCCGATAGCCAAATATACACTGATGATTCAAAAATTTCATCACATCCATTGTCGACATGGACAAAACACTGATCACAACTAGGAACAACTGTTAGTTGGCTGAAGTCATATGGATGGAAATAATTCTGACTGCTCAGTCCACTGACAAGATGCCATTTTTGTTTTTTGGTAAAACACAAGCAGGATGGCAACTTCAGCTATTTTTTGTTGTTGGTTCGTTCAGCCGATTAATCAAATTCTCAAAGATGCTGTCTGTTGCAAGTCTATAAAATACTAGGAGCTAGTTTTCACATTCATGTATATACTGTTCTAAGATGGTAGACCTCAATTCAGTTGCCATTTTCCCACAAATAATACGAAATGAAATGATGTTGAGTTTGAGAAAGATGTCTCCTACTTATTCTGAAGATTCAACTAATAATATTGAGCCAAAACTAAATCAAACTGCTTAACTTATTACTATACTCTGTTTTTAATTATTATGGTAAAAAATATAATCAGATTAATCACCTGTATACACAGAAATATATAGCATATTTTAGAAATATTATCTGTATAAATCACAATGCTTTTTATAATAGAAAATAAATGAAATGAATGGAGTTTTACGTCCTACTTTTCTGCATCATGTGGACTAATGAAGATGGGCAACGCCATGCATGGTGCAATGAGGGAAATTTTGCCAGGACAGCCGCATAGGCCTGCCCTTTTTTCGATTTCCAACTGTCGAGGTATCTTTAACGTGCACAGCCTGTAGCACTCAGTGCCTCGGTTTATTGTCCCATCCAAATGACTAGACGCTTTTTCCATGTCAGCCCCTTTTACCTGACAGGTGGAAACCAGGTTGAAAAATCCGAGGGAATTATCTTGACCTATGCCGGGATTGAACCCTGGACCTTCAGGTTAGTGAGCAAGTGTCTAACTCACTGAGCCACCGCGGCTCCTTTTTATAATAGACATTGTGAATACAGCCCCTTTGTAGAAATTATATAAAACACATCGAAATATCTCACCTTTGAAAGTTGACCACCTAGAAAGTCGTCTCCGTACAATCTTAGGCTTGGAATCAGATTTCATTTTATTAACATCAGAAAAATGTACGGTTTTCTCCATTTTTCCCCACACAAAAAAATTATATCTAAATTCACATGAGTTTTTATTCCCATTAACTCTAATTTGAACTTCAAAGTTTGAAGCTGATTTTAAGCAAATAAACCATAAAACATGAGAGGGTTAATAAATTTTTATGACCTTAACCCTTTCAACTGACTCTAGCCAAATAATTTATGGATCTAATTTAATAAAGTTAGACCAATATATATATCTTTTTTCTTAATCAAATGGCCTGAGAAAACTAAAACCAATATTGCACTGTATTTTATTTGGTTTCTACTATTATTATTATTATAGCTAATTTGAATATGTATACAATACTGGTTATAATTAAAACAGAAATAAAAATAATATTTGTTTAATTTCAACACAATTGTAACTTTAAGATTAGCTTCATAAATAAATGAAATACGAAAAATAGTAACAAGTTTTAAGAGAGTAACAAGTTTTAACAGAGTAACAAGCTTCAGTTTAGAGTAACAATTTTTAAGAGAGTAACAAGCTTTAGTTTAGAGTAAAAGTTTTGAGAGAATTTTTAAAGGAGTAACATGTTTTAGTTGAGATAGTAACAAGTTTTAGTTTGGAGTAACAAGTTTTGAGAGAGTAACAAGCTTTAGTTTAGAGTGAGAAGTTTTAAGAGAGTAACATGTTTTAGTTTAGAGTAACAAGGTTTGAGAGAGTAACAAGTTTTGAGAGAGTAACAAGTTTTGAGAGAGTAACAAGTTTTGAGAGAGTAACAAGTTTTAGTTATGAAAGTAACAAGCTTTAAGAGTAACAAGTGTAAAGAGAGTAACAAGTTTTGAGAGAGTAACAAGTTTTGAGAGAGTAACATGTTTTAAGATAGTCACAAGTTTAAAAAGAAGTTACACCTTCTTCTGTGAAAGTAACATGTTTTAGTTGAGATAGTAACAAGTTTTAGTTTGGAGTAACAAGTTTTGAGAGAGTAACAAGCTTTAGTTTAGAGTGAGAAGTTTTAAGAGAGTAACATGTTTTAGTTTAGAGTAACAAGTTTTGAGAGAGTAACCAGTTTTGAGAGAGTAACAAGTTTTGAGAGAGTAACAAGTTTTAGTTATGAAAGTAACAAGCTTTAAGAGTAACAAGTGTAAAGAGAGTAACAAGTTTTGAGAGAGTAACAAGTTTTGAGAGATTAACATGTTTTAAGATGGTCACAAGTTTAAAAAGAAGTTACACCTTCTTCTGTGAAAGTAACATGTTTTAGTTGAGATAGTAACAAGTTTTAGTTTGGAGTAACAAGTTTTGAGAGAGTAACAAGCTTTAGTTTAGAGTGAGAAGTTTTAAGAGAGTAACATGTTTTAGTTTAGAGTAACAAGTTTTGAGAGAATAACAAGTTTTGAGAGAGAGTAACAAGTTTTGAGAGAGTAACAAGTTTTAGTTATGAAAGTAACAAGCTTTAAGAGTAACAAGTGTAAAGAGAGTAACAAATTTTGAGAGAGTAACAAGTTTTGAGAGAGAGTAACAAGTTTTGAGAGAGTAACAAGTTTTAGTTATGAAAGTAACAAGCTTTAAGAGTAACAAGTGTAAAGAGAGTAACAAGTTTTGAGAGAGTAACAAGTTTTGAGAGAGTAACATGTTTTAAGATAGTCACAAGTTTAAAAAGAAGTTACACCTTCTTCTGTGAAAGTAACATGTTTAGTGAGA